CTGACTATTTGCCATTTCTTAACTAGATGTCCCACAGGGCACCTTAAACTTAACACAGCCAAAACCTAACTCACTGTCTTCCTAGCAAATGTTTCTGTCTTCCTTTCTTTCCCCTAATCCTCTCAGTTCCTTGCTCCTCATCCATGGGACACAAAGGGAGAAATACTACGATTGAGAAAATGGACTGAAAATAACTCACATCCAGAATTCGATGAAAATAGTATTTTATTAATTTGGTTTGAGGGTCCACAGTTGTCCTACCAACTATTATGTACTGCTTTCTCATCCCTTAAGTCTCTAAGTGAGCTCCTGTTCCAGTCACCTCTGGAAGCATTATGGTCAAATCCCACTGGTGGGTGGGTGAGGATCTTGGGACCACATCCCCAGGTCTCCCTCCCACCACACTCCCAGTTTGTATGGCATTTCCACTGTTCTATCAGTTCAGTTTAAGCACTTCACAGTTTAAATATCTATTGCTCAATATGATTCCATCAAGTGGAAAAAGAATTTAGCTGGATAGAGTCCCCTGCACCCTGTCTCCTACCATCCCAAACTCTTGGAACTTCTCCACTGTTCCATAGCCTTTCTCCCCCAGACAACCCCACCCACTCAGAAACTGCCTTGGCTTTGGGGTTGGGGGTGGCCTGCTTCTCTGAGGCAGTGAAAGGATATCAGAGCAAAACAATTTGCCATTTGGGAGCTTCCTCGCTCTGATATTTGTCCTGACATTTGTTTGGAATGGCCAGCTAAGGGTACTTTGGGCTGGCTAGAAACACTAAGGCATAGTGAAACATTAAAATATCCTAAGGCAATATAAGATTAAAATAATCCATGAGAGTAAGTGTCTGAAAACTTTTTCTGTGATGGGCCAGAGAGTAAATATTTTCAGCTTAGGAGGCCACACAGTTTGTCTCTTCTCAACTCTGCTGCTGTTGAGGTAAAGCAGCCATAGATGGAACATAAATGATGTTATGGGTTATACATAAGTTACGTCATAAGACATAAACGGGGGAGGGGATAGCTCAAATGGTAGAGCGTATGATTAACATGCACAAGGGCCTGGGTTCAATCTCCAGTACCTCCACTGAAAAATAAATAAATGAATAAATAAATAGACCTAATGACCTCTCCTCTCCCCAAAAATAAAAAATTTTAAATTAAAAAGAAAACACCAGACGTACACTGTGTGACCGGATTTGGCTCAACGGCTGTAGAATACCAATCCCTGCTCAAGAGAAATAGGTCAATCCTGACCACATTGTGATCTTTTCAAATGTGCTCTGTCTAAATGTCGTAATAGCTGACACCTGGCTTCATTGCTAATTCAAGTCTCAGTTACTGACTTGTGAAGAACAACCAATAGCCAAGATTCTTCAGATTATTCACATTACTAATTTTTCATCAAAAGAATTGGCTAAATAAGGAGACTTATTAAAAAATGAATGAACTGAAAGTCAGTGCTAAGTCTAACTAGGTGGGTAGCCTTGGGTAAGTCACAGCACTACTCTAGACCCCAGATTTTATCTGTATGATTAGGGGGTTCAATCACTTGATTTCTTTCTTTAAAAAAACTCCCATTTTTTTTCTGTTTTACAAAAAGTGATTCATGCTAATTGTAGCACATTTAGAAAATAGAATTAAGCAGAAAGAAAATGAGAATTCCCACATCTCCACCACAAAGAGATGACACTGTTAACATCTTGGCATGTGTCTTTTCTGTTGATTATCAATTCAGCAATTCTGTTTAGTTTTCCATGTATCCTTTAAATATTAAAAGTGAGATCGTACTAAACAGCTTTGTGATCTCAAATTTTCTCTTAATATAACACGAACTTTTTTGTGTTATGAAATATTTTTCTACAATATCCTATTAGCTGAAAAGTATCCTGTTATCTGGATGTACCATAATTCACTTGACTAATCCCCCTTTTGTTAGTTTTTTTCCAATTCTTTGTTTCTATAAACTTCATTGCAACAGACATCTTTGTAGAGAAAGCTTTGCGCTCATTTATGAATTTCCATTATTTCTTTCAACGTGAAAACTTTCCCATACATTCAGCCGTCATTCCACCTTTGACCAACAGAGGGCATTTTAGGCTTTCCTTCTCCATAGCGCCATTTCTACAGTGTACAACAACAAAAATAGTGATTTTATTGTGAAAATGATTCAATTTCTGGTCTTCAGTAATAGTTAATAAACTCCAAAGGGAGAATCAAAGTCATTTTTTTAAGGTCTAACCAGAATACTCCCCTGCAACCTCGTCCCCACCGCCCCTGCCAAAAGAAACCTCTAATAATGAGCTGCTTTGTTACAATTTAAACCCAAAATGAATAGAGATGATCTCTTTTGCCCAATCCAGAATAACTAAGAGAGTGCTTTGCTTTATGCAAAGACCGCAAGTCCTGCGGAAGACTGGTTTGGATAGTGACAAACAAGCAGGGAAATGGAACTTGATGCTGAAAATACTGACCTTGCCAGAGAAAAGCCCAGACAGCCCCAGGATCCGTAGCTCCCTGGAAATACAAATCTGAGGACAACCCTGAGCGAAGTCATGCCTAGACTATTACTCGCCTATCATCTACCTGCCAGGTCGTGGCAGGTAATTTTATAGGTTTTGTTAGATAGAGCTTGAAATAATTGTTTGATGTGCATTTTTCTTGATTTTCACCAAGATGGTAAATTTCCAAGGACAGCAATCTGCCCGTCCTTCTTGACACACCCAGTCATACCTAGCAAATTACTAAGTACAAGGGAGGAACTTAAATAGCTGGCACTCAGTGCTAATGACAAGCTTCTATTCTAGTATAAAGGTGATTACTGAGAGGCAGAGTGGTGGTGAAGGGTGTAGACTTGGAGTCAGGTGGTCTGTATTTGTAACCTGACTCCATCACTTACTAGCTGGTAATACTAGTTAAGTTAGTATTACCTCCTGAGCCAGTGTTTGTAAAATGTAGGTAGTAATGATACCTACCTCAGAGGGTGATTTTGAGATTTAAGAGTTTAAACATGTAAATTCAGGCATAGAGCCTGGACCTACGTTACTAGAATGATTACTTGACAAAGTGACTAAGGTTTGTCTCTCATTTTTAAATTCTGTGATTCTTCATGGATGATGATCTCTCTAAGCTCCTCCTGCAGCCCCTGAGGACACCAGCCTTCCCCTGGCCCCCCTCCCCCGGGTCACCCGCTGTCTGTAGACATGGCTACGCAGGCCCTGGGAAGCTGATAGTCACAGGCCACAGGCCTACCTTGGTCCCTAACCCAGCTACTTTTAAACTTTTACTCCAGCCATCTTTCATGTGTTCAACAGTTCCATTTGATTCCATCAAATCACAACATTTCACAGATAGTCATCTTTGTAGAGGTGTTCTAAGATGTCACATGGAACAGAAAGGCTTTGCTTCACAGGGCTCAAAAGAAAAGTGCTCAGACCAGAAAGAAATAAGGAATGTCAACAGGATGGAGATACCTCAGCATCTGCTGCTTCTGGCCAGGTGTGCACGGTTCTCTCCACATCAGCCATCTTGTGCGGGGGTTCTCTGCCCCTTCCTGTTCCAATACGCTCCCAAGCACAACAGTGGAGTCTCCAGGTGTAGGGAATAAAACCCTTCTGTTCCTAGGGGCCAGGATTAGAGTCAGGCTGGGTTATAGTTTAAAAATGTCCTCTCCTCCCATTCTGATAGGCTCCAAAGGGGTATGTGACCAACACAGGAAATAAGCAAAAACAAAAACAAAAACAATTATGTTATGCTGAAGCTGATTTTTATTGCTATCTGGAGGTTGGAGCAGTAACAGGAAATGGGACTTAAGACAGCTGAGCCCTTAACGGGGCTGGGACTTCCCAGGTAGAGGGGAGAGGGATTGGGTTTCTGGGCATCTGGAAGAAGCGGCAAGTAAAGGGAGTATAAGGAGACAGGGAGGAAGTGTACTGTTGTTCACAAGGGAGTAGTGAGGCCATCTCCTGGAGGCAGAGTTTAATGTGTGAGGCATTAGAGAATCAAAGGAGCGACTTAAGACACAGCGCTGAACAAAGGACTGATCTGGCAGCAGTACTTACTTTCAACTGAAGGGGACAGGCCTCGGGGAGGGCGGTGGAAAGAGGGACATCAGGGTCAGGCTTGCACCTAGACACCAGGTTCCCACCGTGGCATGGGTTGAGGGGCACTGTGTAAGTGACTTGACCTGGCTGAGCCTGTTTCCTCACCTGAAAATGATGTACTAGAGGTTTCCGGGAGGATTAATCATTTATCAAATCTTTTACTAGGTTCCTACAATGTGCCATTTTGCTAGGTGTCAGGGGTACAAAAACGGACAAGAAAAGATAGTTTCTGTCTTCCAGGAACTCACTAACTATATAAGAGAAAGACAACTTTTTTAAAAAAGTCAAGAAATATTAAAAACTGCAACATGTGACAGGGTGATAATGTGAATAAGGTAGGCAGCAGGGGCACCTACCTTTTAGTTCAAGGTGTGAGGGAAAGTCCTTCTGAGGAAGAACAGAGAATTGAGAAGGAGGCTGTCTGGCAAAGAGCAAAGGGCAGAACACTCCAGGGAGAGGAGTAACACGTGCAGAGGCAGGAAAGGCTTTGTGTGCTCCAGGAAATGCAACAGTCTATATCGTAAGAGTCTGAAGAGTCTAGTGACTGATGGTATGTTTTAGGTCAGGGTGGGGGCAGTGGAGCTGACGGGAAGTAGACGGATTTGAGAAGTATTTTGAAGGTATCATCTATAACAATGGTTTCCAGAAAAAAGTTGGAAACAGTAACTTCTTTGTTTTTAAAAACAGAATATAAGCATGAAATAGAACCCTGACACAAAATGATGGCAGCAAGTCTCCTTGAAATAAATTACAGCAAAAATTTCACTGAGAAATGATGATGCATAGAGAGGAATAGCTAAAATAGCCAACTGGAGAAACTTTGGTTTATCAAATGATCATCTGATAAGGTCCTATTGCTTCTCTGAAATCACAGAAATGAAAACATGGGAACTACCAGTGTGCTTCACATTTAAGGCTTTTATTTTGAAAAATAAAATACAAAAGGCATCAAGTTGTAAATGTATGTGGTAATTCCTCAACTTCTCAGAAACAATACAATGAATTATTTAAATAATTAAGGTATTTAATACTATCGACATCAATACATTTAAACAGGTACAAGTGTTCTACAAAACATTAGAACATGTACGGACAACCTATTCCAAGATGAAACTGCCCACTTTCGCTTACACGATGCCATTTTAAAACCCTCCCCTTGAAAACACAGTTTGGAATCTGGTAAGAAAAGATGAGGACCAGAGCAGTTTTAACAGAAAGCACACATCCCCTCTGGGCTCCTTATCCACGGGGCTGTGCATGTAATTAGGTTCAAGAGCGTTGGACTCGGGAAGCAGGCCACTCAGGAAGGTCGGAATGTGTGCTGACATCCCACCCTCTCAGTGGGGGGAGATTGGCAAATGACAGGAGACGCGGGCCATGGTACACACATCCATTCATCTCAGCAGGGGACAGCCAGACCTAGAAATTTCTCTGCCGTTGAAAAGGCAGCAGCAGTCTTCCCTAGAGCAAACAAACAGAATGTCGTTACAGGTGTGGAGTCACAGTTTGTTCTCCCCGGCACGACACACCTCCTTTCCAGTGGTGGGCCTGGCAGGAGCCATGCAGATGGGCAGGGAGCTGGACAATTACGAGAACAGCTGCCTCAGAAGGTTACGGGAGAGGCACAGTCTCCCTCAGTCTGCGGTGCTTTTAGAGCCTGCCGGTAGCTTCAACGTGCAGAACAAGCATATGACAGCCAAAGCAAGTGCTGCTCCTGCCCGTTTTGAGATGACTGCAACTGTCATTTGCAGCTGAAGCTACTGCAGGGGCACTGATAGAGACGTCAAAGGTCCGGAGGTCAAACGTGCGGACTCTTTATATGAAAAAGTGGATACTGAGGTTCCGTACAGGAAGCTTTAGAAAACACAGTGACTGTTGTTCATAGACCAAAGGGATCCAAAAGACTACTATTTAGCTTGAGATGCTCTGATGTCTTCCCAGCTTCTCCTGAGTCTTTCTTTCCTTGAACGTGGGCACCTGCAGGCCTCACAAGCAAAGACGAAACACTGCTGCAGATGCAACGCAAGGCTGGAGTCAACTGACACTGCATTCTATAAACAGCTGGTCCATGATGAATCCCTGTATGTATGTTTCAAGGAGGGAATTTATCTATACTTTTGGAAGTATTATGAATAAACAAAACTATCCAAGGCCTCATAACTGCTGTTATACACGTGTGCCCACAGAGTATAAGTCTACATTTAGCATTTACTCCTTAACAAAAAGGCAATCATAAATCCTGAAACCTATTAATACTATTAGCTCCCTGCTATCCATGATTTTGACATGGTATAGCAGTGCTCACATGCTTTTTCAATCTATAAGCCACTAACACACGGCAAGTCATAAAAATCTTATTCAAAACAAATTATGCAATCTCAGTTTTCTCATCAGTAGAACAGGAATAATACCACGTACTTGCCAGAGTGGTTTGAAATTTGAATGAAATCATATCATATATATGAATAATATGTGTAGTTATCACACATGTTATATAATATGTCATACATCATTTATATATTATATATGCTTTATATATATATAATGCTTGGTATTTGATGCCTGATATGGAGTACACAATCAATATATGGTTATTATATAAAATGAAAATAAAACAGCAGATAAAAATATTTTAAGAATCATATTTTAAATAAAGCTTTTCAAGTTCCAAATGATCTAAGGCAACCACATTATTCAGAGCAAAACACAACCTTAAGAAAGTGTGGGAGAGGGATATGAGGTCTGAGCAGCCATGTCAGGAGGTCTAGGTTCTGAAACCAGCTTTGCCACTAATTGGCTGGTATCCCAGGACATGTACCTGATATGACTCAGATACAAAGGGGGCTGTAACTGTAGCCCTTAACTACGAGATGAGACAATGTAGGCTACAAATGTAAGACGTCGTAATGCATTAATATCAGCAAAGGTGGACTTGAAAAACCAACCAACCAGCCCCTGGAAGTATTAGTGCTAAAACACCTGCACATCCAGCACACAGAGAAAGCAGTGCAGGGCGGGAAATGAATCCCCAGCTGGATGTCAGGAGACGGTGTTCTTCAGCCCTGGGTTTTCCCTACCTGTGCTGTGACCTTGACAACCAGCCTGCTCTCTCTTTCTTACCAGCAAACAGGTGGTTGAGGTTGATAGTCTCCAGGTTTTTTTCAGCTAAAATATTTTATCGTTTTTAAACCCCTCCTCATAATGAAAATAACCACCAACACTGTCTGAGTGCTTATCTATGCCAGGCGCCTGGCAGACGTCATTATGGTTAATTCTTACTACCACTCTCTTATCAACATAGCCCTCATTTTACAGATGAGGGAACTAAGACACAGAGAAGTTAAATAATTTGCTCAATGTTACACAGAGCCAAGGAGACCTGCACCTAGGAGACCTAACTCCAGAGCTGTGCTCTCCACCCCGGCCACGCTGCCTCCCACAGAGCCTAAGCAGGGAAGCCCAGAGACCCAGCAATGTCCCCCAACCTCACCTCAGGTACATTAGAGGTTCCTGGCTCTGCTACTCCCCTTTCTCAGTCTGTGGAAGGAAGCAAAAGATGTTTAAAGGTCGATCAGCATGAGAAGGGACTGGTCTTGCTGAAGTATCAGATGTAGCTTGCAGGCTCTGATCAGAGACTTTCTACTGAATTCAGCCCACTATTGTTGTATAAAGAAGCAATGACTGGCTTTTGGCTCTGGTTCCTGGTAGGGAGACTCTAAATCCTTGGAATTTTCCAGGTAACAGGAGTGTCTTTGTTACTCATGGGCCCCTTAGATCATACCTGAGTTTATGCTAAGAGACGAGATGACTCAGGAGGGGAGCTGGTCACCAGGAGGAACAATCCTGTGATTAGAGGATGGGGCTTTGAGCTAGCCCAGCCTCTGGGTAGGGGACCTTGGTGGGGATTGAGTTCAATCATATGACCAATGTGAGTCAATCAATCATGCTGATGTAATTAGACTTCAGTAAAAATTCTGGATGCTAAATTGCAGTGGAGCTTCCTGGTTGGTGAATACCCTGCTGTGCCATGAGAGAGAAGCACCCCAGTTCCATGTGGAGTGTGCACAGAAGCTCTGTGTCTGAGACTCTCCCAGACCTTGTCCCATGTGTCTCTTCATTTCGTTGGTCTTGAATTGCATCCTTTATAATAAAACTGTAATAAGTATAGCAGTTTCCTGAGTTGTGTGAGCAATTCTAACTAAGTATCAGTCCTGAGGGTTCTGTGGGCTTCAGTTTTCTCATTTATTAGAAGTTCAATCAAAGCCTTTTATGGGCCCTTTTCTAAGTGTGTGCGATGCATTAAATGAAGCAAACCAGAACAAGAGGCTTGAAATGCCTATTAAGCCTTCTGCCCATTTTTTTGTTATCTTTCCCTTATTTATTTGTAGAAATTCTCTATATTTTACCGATGAGTCCTTTGTTTCAAAATTTTCCCCTGCGTAAGATGTACTTTTTTACTCTTTTTGATGCTTTCTAGTAAGTAAATATTCTTAATTTTAATGTAGTCCAACTTATCCACTTAAAAATTAATGACCAGTATTTTTTTTAATTGAAGTACAGTTACAATGTGTTAATTTCTGGTGTACAGCACAATGTCCCAGTCATGCATATACATTCCTAAATTCATTTAATGATCAGTATTTTATTATAACTTGTTTAAGAAATCCTTCCCTCTTAAGGTCATGAAGATATTCTCCTCTATTGTCTCCTAAAAACTACTATTTTGCCTTTCACATTTAGGTCTACATTCCACCTGGAAATGATCATTATGTATGCTGTGAATCAGGGGTGCCCCTTTAGTTTTAGTTTCAAATTCCCTTTCTTGACTCCTTCAGACTTGTTATGCAAAACAGCCTTTGGATGTGACACTTCTTCATGACTCTGCCTCTTGGAGTACTCTCTGGCTCCAGTGCCACAGCCTGTGACAACCTGTTCATGCAACCACCTAGGTTTCTTTCTGGCACATCTTGCCCAGCCAAGGCTCAGGACCCCTGTGGCCACTTCTCTGCAATAGTTGATCAGAGTCTTTTGGATAAACCAGGAGTTCCTTGAGAAGATCTTTTTTTTTTTTCCCTCTGACTCTAGAGGATTTACGCCAATTTCTCATGCATGAAAGAAATTCAGTAGACATTTGTCAAATAAATGAAATGAATGAATGGATGGGTTAAAATTAATATATGTTAATAAGCATAAACCATGAAAGTAGTTTAAAATTCTCAAGTAATATGTATCAATTATTGACGGCTGTTATCAGACAAGGATCTGAGAAGATGGAGCCTTCACCCCTGGTGTGAGACACAGCTGCCCTGAGAGAAGCCCAGTCACCCCAGGCTTGCTTCAGGCAACACGACTTCACAGAGTCTGCGAGGTTCCCCTCAACAACCCATATCTGGAACATTCTGAGAAACCGAGTTCACTGCCGAGTCTTCATTTCCTATTAACAAGCTAATCACTGACAGCAGCAGCCTGGAGGCAACATGTATTATTGCTACGCTGGGCACGGAAGTCTTCTGCTGGGCTCAAGCAGCAGTCATGGATGTCTTCCCACCGCTACACAGGCATGGCAGGTGATGCTTGCAAGCAGGATGCTCTGAGCTACTCTAGGCATGCTGGCCATAACACCACCTGTTTCTCTCCAATTCAAGAAACAATACTGGAGTCCAAGTGAGTGACAATGTGACATTACAAGGATAATTCTGGATCTGTTTTAATTAGTTTTTAAAAAAGTAAAAGTTACAACCTTTAAACTCATACTATCCATTCCCAACCTGGGGGACTTAGCAGCTGTGTACATAATGTGTATATAATGTATTCACATGTCTTCTAGGCTCCACATGAGAAAAGTTAAAAGGCCATGGATATACACGCAGTAAGTAAGAATTAAGGATGGCTGTACATTTTTATTTCAAGGTGAATATCAGAAGGCTGGAGCATATTCACTGAGGCAGGCTCTTTATGTGTGGAATACTCTGTGGCTTGTGAGTGGCCTCGCAATCAGATTTTAGTTATCAACCAAGTATTTCCCTAGTTTTGGAAGACACTGAACCCTCTGAACTGTGTTAAATTATTGTTAAAACCAAGCATTACCAGAGGCCAGTCTTTCTACCACCAGCACATATGATTATCCCTTTAAAAAGATGACTTCAACGCAAGAGCCCACCTACCATGACACATCAAAAGGAGGAAGTGGACACAGTACCTGAGGTTTTTCTTTAAGAAATTCAGGTAGCTGGAATTCTCCTTTGTAGACCTGGAAAAACAAAGCCAAGTATGAGTTTAAGGAAAACAACACTGTCATCATTGCTGCGGGGTGCCGGCAATGCCTGGTGGGTGGGTTCACTGCTTCATTCTTGGTGGCCAGTGTTGAAGGACTGTGTGAAATTCCTATTCACTCTGATCCCACCTGCCCTACACTTGCCTGGGGGCTCCCAAACATGGACTGGCTGGGAGAGGGCTTGGAGTATCTGAAGAAGGAAAAAAAGCATCAAACACTCCAAGTTCCAATCATTTTAGCTGAGAATGAAAGCAAGCCCTAGGCCATCTCTCTCAAGGAACCAACACAGAATTCACACAACTTAGGAACAGGCTCCTCTTGATTTCCTTCTGAAATCTCTAGCTCTGGATTTAATCCATCTTTACTGTTCTCAATGTACTCCATATTCCCATAATAATTTGAATATTAGATGATTCTTAAAATTATATATACTTTTAACTTCATAAAATATTATAATTAAAAACTTACTCTTCAATATATAAAATGTTTCTAATAGCAGCAATAATTAAGAAATAGCTTTAAAAAGATGTGTAAGATCTTTACATAGACAACTATGAAATACCATTGAGAGAAATTAAAGACTAAATATATAGAGACACAGACTACATTCATGGACTGTAATATTCAAGACAGTAAAGATGTCCATTTTCTTCCAAGGATTTCCAGTAAAAATTCTAGCATGCTTTTTTTGGGAGGGGGGGTAATTTCCAGCTGATTGTAAAAGTTATATGGAAATGCAGAGGGACAAGAATAATCAAGGTAATCTTAAAAAGAACAAAGTAGAAGGATTTATTCTGTCAAACATTAAGACATTATTATTTAGCTATAATTAAGTTATATTATACAGTTGTATATAAAAAATCAAGACAACGGTTTTGGCACAAGGATAGACAAATATATTAATGAAACAGAATGAAGAGTCCAGAAACAGACCCTCATTTACAGATAATTGGTTTACAACAAAAGTGGCATTGCAGTTAGAATGAATAAATTAAAGTGGTTTATGCATATAATAATATACCATACTGCAATTTAAAAAACGAACTGCTACTATACCAAGAACGTAGATGAATCCCAACACCTAGTGATGAGGGGAAAAAAAGCCAGATCTCCAAAAATAATACACTACATGTCTCCATTTAAAAAAAATTAAAACTCAAAAATAGGCAAAACAACTCTATGATGTTGTAAATGAGGATACTGTTTACTCTGGGGGGGGAGGTGGGTGGTAGTGATTGGGAGGGGACATGAGAGAGGCTTCCAGGGTGCTGGTGATCTCTGTCCTGATACGGGTAGTGATTATGAAGGTATGTTCATTTTGTGATCATTTTTTGAGCTATGATTTGTATACTTTTCTGTATGTATGTTATACTTCAGTAACAAAACTGAACAAATTAAGAGAGCAGCTTAATTTACTGAGCTTGCTCTCTCTTATTCTCTCTCTTTCACACACACACACACTTGGTTAAGTAGAAAGAAGTTTGTTTCAATAGTGTCTACAGCAAAAAACTGGGAACTATTCATGTCAATCAAGAGTGAAGAAGGTCTCTATCAGCAACAGTTTGAGACTGCTGGACTCAGGAAACTACAGTAACACAAACTATGGGTTTTTATTGGGAAGAGAGTCACTGGGGAGCCCCTCAGAGCACAAAGAAATCTTCTAAATGCTGACTACTAAAGCCTACAAACCTATAGGAGGGGAGGTTCTAAGATGATTGATTCACTTTAAAAGTAGCAGTATTCCTTCTGAGATTCAGAGAATGAATGTGCTTTTTTCCTGTCTCTTTCTCTGCCATTTCTAAAACCTGGTCTATTCTTTGGGGTCTTTGCTACAGTCCTAGAAAGTCTAAATTAAAGCAGAGGCATCAGATTTATGGATAAGGTATTTCTTCAGAGATGCATCACACTGGAAGCTGAGGTGGGTGTGGAATGACAACAGTGCAGCCACAAGGAATGTCTCAAAAGCTGCCGCCGTCTCCTTCATACCCTCAAGCAGGCCCAGGACACTGGAGGGCTGGCCGAGCTGCTCCCTGAAGAATCTGCATGTAAGAATCCTGTTTACTTCACCTCAACACCACAGTCCAGAGACTGTTCCAGCCTTCTGCATTCCCCCCACCCCTAGGTTTGCTGAGATAATTGACACATAACACTGTATTACTGCTCCAGCTTTCTGCAGTAGGAAGTGTCTGTAGGTCACATTAACAGGGACTTCCACTGTGCCTGTCTCTACTAGCCATGGGGCAAGCAGACACTATACTCAAGTTGGGGCTTAAGCCACTGTAACAGTTTTTTTGTTTTTGCTTTTTACCAGATTCTCAAGTGTCTTTCCTTATCTTTCTAGGTAGGGAACTGAGTCCCAATCCCCACCCTCCACGCTCCTAGGGCATTAGCTGTTCAGGCCTAGGGCCCTGTGCCCCAGCTACTTTACTGAACCAGGAGGAATTTGTTTGCCCCAGTACTTCTTCCACCGTTAGTGGGTTTGGTCCCCAAGCAACTTTTCTTATATTCCTCACATCCTCTCAGAAACTGAATCTCCTCTCTCTTAGCTAGAATTCAAGCAGAACGGTCAACGCCAGCCCATGGGGTCATACAGCCAGTTAGCGGCAGAATGAGCCTCAGAGGGTCCCGGCTCAGCACGCTCCCATTATACCATGTTCTTCGCAATTTATTAATATTAATATTAATATTAATATTAATTACAGTTAAATTTTCCCTTTTCTTTTCAGTTCATTGTAAAAATCAGCAAGGCATGATAGTAACATGAGTGGGAACACTGAGTATTCTAAGTGTCTTCCAAGTGTCAACAGTACCAGAGAAGTAAGGCTTATATGAAGGGGAAAAAAACCCTTAAGTATGTGATGTCACAAATGTAATACAAAAAGGGGGGGGGGGGAGTCAGGATAAGATATCAGACAAAAGGCTCAATCAAAAAATAAGTGGGAAAGACAAATATTATATGATATCACTTACATGTGGAATCTAAAAAAATGACACAAGAAACTTCTTTACAAAACAGAAAGACTCACAGACACAGAAAACAAACTTATGGTGACCACAGGGAGGAGGGGAAAGGGATAAATTGAGAGTTTCGGATCAGCAGATACAAACTACTATATGTAAAGTATAAACAAGGTCCTACTACATAGCACAGGGAACTATATTCAATAGCTTGCAGTAACTTACAATGAAAAAGAATATTTATATGCATAACTGAATCATTATGCTGTATACCAGAAACTAACACAAAATGTAAATCAACTACACTTCAACAAAAAAATGGGAAGCTGTTTCCTTTCATTAACCTTTAGGGAACAAATGCTTCAAAAGTTAGGGACTATGGTATTGACAAAGAGAACACTTTCTACTGACAAAGCAATTCCTGTTTAGTGCAGGAAACCAAGTACTGCATTGCTTACAAAAACAGCAAAGTTAGGAATGGAATTTCCTTTGGTTAAAGGAACAGTGTTCCTGGAACTATCCTCTGGTACTAATGAACTGAGGATTTTGCTTGACAGAAATGAGCTAGCTACTCTCAGAATCCAACGTTACTACAGAACCTTCCCAGCTCAAGCACTGAAGGAACAAGGAAACAAAAGTAGGCTTCTGATTTGGAGGGTGTGCTGGAAAAACAAATAATAAGAACAGTAGCTAAACATTATTTTCTCTGCATCAGGTAAGTGTTAAGGACGAGTTTCATATGTATCACCTTATTGAATACCACAGTCTCCTGAGAGAGATATTATTCTCTTCTTACAGATGAAAAAACTGAAGCACAGAGAAATTAAGCAATTTGTCCAATGCAGTGAAATGGGAAGCTACAGAGTACCATGATCAGACTTCCATTTTAAAACAATCATCCTTATTGCTCTGCTTATACTGTAGGCGACCCAGGATAGAAGTATGGAGGCAACAGAAGTAATCTAGACAAGAGAAGATGACAAGGAGGTAGCAGTGGAGGTGGTGAGAAATGGTAGGTTTGTGAACTTCCCCCACTAATTATATCATGATTTCCTAACCAACTGGATGTGGAGTGTGAGAGAGCAGAGGGGAGTCAAAGATGATTCCAAGGTTCCTGGTCTAAGTAACTACCAACTGGAAATATGAAGCTGCCATCAACTCAGCTGGGAAAGGTTCTGGATACAGAAGATTTTCAGGGATGATCAGTAGTTCAGTTTTGGACATGTTAAACTTGAGATGTCTATTAGACAGTAAATAAAAATGTCAAGCAATCAGATACACACATCTGGAGTTCATGGAAGAGGTCTGGGCTGGGGTATGTAAATTTGAGAATCTTCAACTATACAATGGTGTTTAAAAGTTGATACCAGATGAGATAACCCAGGCACTCAGGGTGGAGAGAAGAGCGGAGGATTTAAGACCAAGATGTGGGGGCATTCTAACATTAAGAGGTTAGGGAGATGAGGAAGAACCAACAAAGAAGACTGAGAAGAAGCCATCAATGAGAAAAGGAAAAAAAAATTTTTTTTGGTGTGGGGGAGGTCATTAGCTCTATTTATAATTAGTTTTTGATTGTTTGTTTTTTAATGGAGGTACTGGGGATTGAACCTAGGACCTCATGCATGCTAAGCATATGCTCTGCCACTGAGCTATACCCATCCCTCGACACAGGAGGAAAATTCTCAGAAGTGATGTCCTAGAAGCCAAGTAAAGGAAAACATAATCAGGATGGAGTAATCAAATGTGTCAAAAAAGGCTGGGAGACAAGATGATAACTGACCATTAGATAGAGCAACACGAAGGTCACTGTGACCCTGACAAGAGCAAATTAAGCAGAATGGTAGTGGTGAAATTCTGAATGGAGTGGATGTAAGACAAAATAGAGGGAGAAAAGTGGAGACCTGGAGTATAGAAAACCTGAGCTTTTATGTAAAGGGCAGCAAAGAAACAGAATGGTAGTGGCAGGGTGCTTGCATAAGGGTAGGGGTGTATGTGTGTGTGTGTGTGTGTGAACTAAA